ATGCTAACTTTTATCCTTAGCTTGGCAATATATATACACACACACTCTATTGGTCTACCACATAACTAATTAGATATTATTACAATCAGGTCTGTTCAATCAGTCACTGCAGTTATCCATTTGTTTGTTCCCAGCGAGAACAAAAGGAACATCTCCGTGTCCCAGCTGTGCACATGGCTCCCAGCATCCACAGTCCAACAATAAATAAATACAATAAACTTGTGTGTGTTCTCCTTAGCTCCTTCGTCGTCGTTACGCCCCCCGCCAATGAGCAGGGTGTGCAGCCCCGTTCTAATTCCCAGGTCAACCACCGCCTTGACTGAATTTTGACTGTGCTTAAAAAAAACAGCAACCGACAACGTGACTACATATTATACATTAAACTAATCTATCAACACCAATAAAATACCACAGCGGTGAAAGACAAAAAGGACTATTTGAAATAGCTAACATAACTAAACTATGTATCTAGGCGTAAGTATATTAATTGTCAGTGCCGCAGCCCAAATCTACTTCTTGTCTACTACTTACCGGGGCAGTTATTCTGTTTCCCTTTTGATTCGGTTTCCTCTGCATCCTGTCTTTGCCGCTGCCCCTCCTCACTTTGACTGCTGCAGCCTATACGTATACGGAGGAGTATAGAAAGACGGCCTACAAAACAAACGGAGACTCACTCCTGCAAGTTTGGTTTGCTTGGTCGCTTTCCTTTACCTAGCATATAGTAGGCGCTGAACCAAGTCCTTCTGCCTCCGTCCTGGGCCATATTTAGCTTTTTTTCGTCCAGTCACTCACACACACACACACACGCACAGCCCCACAACTCTGTGGTCCAAACTCAGTGTGTGAAGCCCTTCTCCCCTCCAGATACACTTTATTTTCTCATTGCACAGCTACTGTCTTCCTCAGTTGCTCTGCTTCCAGTGCAGCTTGTTTTAAGTAGAGCTTTCATCCAATCAGATTTCACCTCTGTGTCTCTAGGTAAGAACAGAGGCCCGCCTGCAGACTCAAGTGCATCCATGTGCAGTTTAAGTGAATGGGGACGATATTGTTGATTGTCATAGTGTTCAACCAATCAGATCTTTAGTTTGACATGTCAGCGCCTGCTAGCCGGCCTATAGCTACGTCAGCATTACTCCAGGTGCAGCTCTGCTGCGAGGTGCAGAGTGTGCTGTGATTGGTCAGTGGGCGAGCACGTGACTAAAGTGAAACTTAGGCTTGCTAGCAGAACTTAGGTTGTTAGCAGTCAGAGTTCAAGTGGAAAGATATGGAAGAAATACTGAAGTACGATATCATACTGTGAGTGTAATCAAAATGTATATTTATTTACATTCCGATAATGAGGAGTCAGACCTATTCCTGTGCCATGATTCATATCATCACAATAGACATCGGTTTGATTATTTATGGTGTGCTAATGAACGCTTCCTCGGCATGACATGCGCAGCTTATCTTTCCGGACACTGATCAACATGTGCTCTGCATGTGTTTGTCGTGTTTATTGACTTCAGGATGAAGTTCAGCATGAATGGCAGCAAAGTCTTTACACTGTAAAACATTGCTCGCTATTGTTGTTTCTGCTAACAAGCAGATCACACGCACAGGGGAGGTCCATGCATGAAGAATAATTCAAACGGTATTGAGGACCCTGTTTATGTTTTACAATTCAGTGTTTGAAACAACTGCGGGATTCGAGATGTGACACATTTGCACACGCACAAAATGTGTATATATTATTTATACAAGCACATCAGAACATGTTGTGAACATCAAATGCAGATGACTTTGGTGTTATGAAAACACGGCAACACTTTCTGGTTCATATTCATCCGTCAGAAGTGTTTTATATTTAAATGTGAAGTGCCACTATAGAAGATCTTTGGACGAATATTAAGCAGGTGAAGCAATTTTATTACTTGACAAATTGACAGCACTTGCATGAATAAATAAACTGACTTCATGCTTATATCATTTTTAATATGCTTTGTATCAACAGGTGTCTACTCATTTAGAAATCAGCAAACGTTTCTACTTTGACAGCGGCTGTCACTTACATCTGCATTATTGCACTTTTTTTCCTGATTCGAATAATAAAAGCATATATTATGTATACGAGGCCTCTTATGTTAATAGCAGTGACACCTTCAGTAATCATTTGCAATTGAACACGCATCATCTTTAATAATTGCTTTTTGACCACAGACGTAGGGCGTGCTTTCACGTACATAATTAAAGAGTGTGAGGTCTATTTTCTTCTGATCATGACTGCAAATATAGGCTTGCATTTCAAAAGAATTACTGGTTGAAACTAACTTTTTACAGCATAGCTTTTGTGTAGAGACCTGCCACTTGATTTGAGAGGTTCCGATTGTATTCGGCTTTACATGTTGAGCACAGTTTACTTTTTATTCTTGTGAATAAATTCCATTGAAACAGAAACGACAGTGAATTCATTCCACCAACTAACTGTGTCTGCGTAGCACATTCTTGTATTACTTCTGCGTATGTGCTATAGTACTCCATTGTTATCCAAAAGAAAGTCATATATTGCATTGTGTCATATTAATTAACTGTCCACCAGCTGTCTACTGAAGATGATTGCTGTAAGTCGTCATTGCAGTGTAAACACAGAAGTTACCAGACATGCTTAGTCTGCTGAACATTGAACAACTGTCACGGATATTAAAAATGCAGTTGTGGAGTTGTCTCTGAATCAATACAAATATATATATTTTCTTTAACATGAGACTATTTAACTTTACCCAGTGTGATATGGAAGCATATTACGAAGAGTTAGGCTCTTGCAAAATTAGAGTGCAAGCCCGTAAATGTGTTTTGAAGCCAGTGTTCTCAGACATTGTTGTCCTAATTGTGTGTTTCAGCTATAGTACGTACAATTTGTTCTAAATGGTGGTATGTCTCTGCTGATTGGATTTAAAGATCAGCACAAACTGTTTCCCACATAGACCCCTTTTCATCCACACACAGCTAGTCATCATTAGAGATGGTAAACATCTCACTTATTATTATGCATTTATCCAGTCCATATTTCACAAAATCCTTTGCCTTGTTGTTAAGGAAGACTTAGAAAGGAAATTGAAAATGAAAAAGCACTCAGAAATGGGACAAAAGAAATCCCTATTTCCATTCGATGAGTCTCTGTGTTAACGGTAAAGTGGCTTCTCCTCAAAGAAGAACACATTGTGGTGACAGAGACAAACCTAATGTCACAAATCAAGTCACTTGGTGATTTTATATTTGATTTGAGGCATTGAAATTCCCCACGGAGGAAACTGCAGCACTCTGAATTTTCACAGTAATTTTCATGGAATCCAAAGTATTACACTTTTTTCTTGATGATTCCTCTTGTTTAATACAATTTGTCTAGTAAAACATAGACAGTGCTGTTGAGAAGAAAGACATGTGAAAAGTCAGTTTATTTGCTACCACCTCAGAGATCAGCATAAAGGTGGAGAGGAAAAAGACTTGGAAGAATGTAAACATGTGACATTGATCACCGAGCATCGTGCTGCATATTTGAAGATACACAGACCCATCTGTTGTGTGAGCTGACTGTTTAAACCAATAACCAACAGATATCTGGCATTATCATACATATGATCATACACACAGATTTTAAAATAGACTGAAGGATCACATTCAGAGGACATACGACACATGCAAACTATTACATATATACAGGAAAAACAACACTTATATTTGAGTAAAACACTTTCACATTACACAGCACAGTTACATGAATCTTTGACACAAAAAGATTACGTTCAATGAAACAGACGTAACAACTTTAATGCAAATGTTCTGTCCATTTCAGGATTCTTGTTAATATTTGTCTGTCTAAGAAAATACCCTGATCCATATTGTCCTGTGGCTAAATACAATTTGTTGACTAAGTCATTAGGAGTCTAAAGCAATTCTAGCGGCTATGTGAGGCTGTACACCGGGGCTTTGCTCTGAGTGCTGTCAGCATGCAAACATTTGCATAATAACAATGCTAACATGCAGATTTTTAACAGGTATAACGTTTACCCAATTCACCATCTTAGTTCTCTGCGTTAGCGTGCTAACATTTGCTAAGTAGAACTAAACACAGCTGAGGCTAGTGGGAAATGGGAATGTCATTCGTTTTGCAGGTATTTGGTCATAAACCAAAGAAATGGATCAATAAAAAATGTGACCAGATGATGATCTTAGAAGGGGAGTTAGGGGATCCCCAAAGTTATTAAAAAGTATCCTCTGGGGATCATAAGAGCCTGAGACAAATTCCATGGCAATCCATCCAAAAGTTGCGCTACAGGAAAAGTCAAGGAGATGATCACTGTAGTCTGGATTCATCCTCTTGGGAACATGAATGTCTGTACAAAATTCCATGGCAATCCATCCAGTAGCTGTTGAGGTATTTCAAGCTGGACAGAAGTGAAGTTAAAATGTCTCGATGGCCCCCTGGTGGCTAGCTGCATCCCGCCCGGAGGCTCGGAAATTGTACATTTAGGAGGAATGTCGAGAAATGTAACTGTCTGTTTCAACCGGAGACTGTATATAAATATGACTATCTTCATACAGTCACTGATCGTGTCGCCAGCTACCGTAGCAACATTTACAGGGCCGTCGACCCTTGCGTGTGTTCACGTCAGTGGCAGCAGACACGTAAATCACACGAATCAAGAGTCTGTGGAGAACAATATGCTATAATTTCCTCATAAATATATTTCTAGAGATATTGTGGTAAGTTGCTGTGTCTGCCGTGGTGGTAGCGCAGCTGCATTTGTGCTGTGGCTGTTTTTGGACGAGCCGGTGTTTGTGCATGACCTCTATACCGCGGTAACTGCATCAACGACTCAAGATGGCAGCGTCTGTATCCAAGATGTATTGGCTTCATTTTTGCACAGCGGGAGGAAATGGAGACGCGTCGTCCATCAATACAGTCTGTGTGTTCAACAGGCAGGCTTGAGGGGAGATAAGCTTCCGAGGCCTCAGCACCTTTAATCCGACAGACTCTTGAGGCTGATTTTAAGGGAGCTGACCATGGTGGCATCCTCCTGGACGGACTCCTTCCGATCCAGCTGACGCACACAATCCAGGGCCACGAGCGTCTCGGGCAGCTTCCCACTGAACAGCAGGTAAATGCAGGGGTTCGCACAGCTGTTCAGATTGGCCAGCAGCATCAAGATGGTGAAGGTAACAGCTGGAAACAATAGAGGAGCAAGTGAGAAAATAATCAACTGTGCCTTTAACTCTGATATTTTGAGCCATTTTACTACGAAGGACCAATTTCTAACTTTGAAGCGTCATCAATTAAACTTTTTTCAATTAAACCTTTCAAGGAATGAGGAGCAATATTTACTAAATGTATTGCACTATTTTCTATCAGTGTGAGTTCACATGGAGATGACCCCTTAATATTTGTATTAGTGGGATTAATATTATCATTATTAAATAAAAGAAGATGTTACCTAAACTCATTCACAGAGAATTAGGATTCCAAAATGAAATCAATTAAAATTATTTTTTGCAGTGCTGCCATTCAATTACCGAGGATATAAGACAAATTCTGTTTCTCTGAAAATGTTTTTCATCATCACAGCTGATGGTGTGCAGTGATGACAGTACATATTTGGCATGCCGTGCATTAACGTCTCAGAATGTCTATGTTTTGGAAAAGCTGAATTAAATATTCCCAGTAAGAATGTGTCTGTTTTTCAAGTGAGATCCCAAACCATGTCCTCTTACTCTGAATGGGCGCATCAACGTCCCACACGGACCAGAGCTGCACGGTGAAGAAAGGCGTCCAGCAGGTTATGTAGGCGAGCACGATGACCACGGTCATCCTCACCGTCTTCACCCTCGCCTTGGACACTACTGCCACGCTGCTGGCCCTGGAGGACAGCGGCTGACCCGCCGCGACGTGCTGCGTCTTAATGTGAAAGTTGCTGCGCACGGTGTGGCAGATGCGCACCTGGCACACGATCACCACGATAACGGGCAGAGCGAATATCACCAGAGTCGTCCAGGTCACGTAGGCTCTCGGTCCCCACGGCTTGACGAACTGCGCCCAGCAGTCGTACACACCGGGAGCGACCTCGACCCGAGAGAAGATGAAGATCTGCGGCAGGCTGCCGACGAACGAGACGCACCAGGCGGCGCACACCGGACCGTTCCAGCGCGCCCTGCGCCTCTGGAAAGTCACCATGGGGTTGCAGATGGCTTGATACCGGTCTATAGTCATCGCTACGATCATGTAACTGGAGGCGAACATCCCGACCACCTGCAGGTACTTCACTACGCGACACAGTATGTCGGGCCCCACAAATCGGTCGGTGATGTCCCACATGAGTTGGGGACAAACTTGGAAGAGTGTGACCACCAGATCGGCGACGCACAGGTGGAAGACGAAGACGTGCATCCGGGAGAGCTGCTTCCTCCGCTTCCACAGCACCGACAAGAGCGCAGAGTTTAGGAGTCCTGCTGTGATGAAGATGACGGACAGAAGAGCTATCTCCACTTGAGCCAAGCGCTCATCTCGCGGCTCATCCCCAGAAAGTGGACTCCCCAAAGTGGTGTTACTGACGTTGACAATGAACCAAGACATGCTTTCTCCATAAATAAAGTAGCTAAAGAGCTCAACACCGTTATATTCTAGCTGAATCCTGCGGAAGTTCCTAGAAAAACAAACTTGTTGTGGAAGTTTAGTGTGGGTGAGGGTGCAGTAAGCAACAAGTGTTGAGAGACTCCAGGCAGAAACTGCAGTGTTGGTAAAGGACAGCAGAGGGCTTTATATCTCCTCATCTCAGGAAGGAGGAGCAACCTCACCCCACACACAACATATTTCTCACAGCAACAAAACACATGGAGGTGGAGAGGATGTAAACATGGAGTTTTGTATTCTGCAGTGCATGCACTTCAACAACAAAAAAAGTCACTCTTTTCAATAAAAGGTACAGCCTTCTTTTTAAACATTTTCTTTACAGAAAACACAGCAAAGAAATGATTCACAACCGCAGTTAAACTGAGGAGAAAATCAAAACAATCAAAAACCAAACTTCTGCTTTTCATTATTGTTTTAACAATTCATATTTTCTGTAGAAACTGAGCACAACAGCTGCTCAGCCAATGGATTTGCACAGAGCTCTGCAGTAACACATTCAGTGAAATCGGCGGTTATTGTACACGTGTTCTCATACAGCTGTGTTGCAGAGAGGATATTGTGTGTGATCTCTTTACATGGCATCGCAGAACAACAAAAGTGGCACTGGGATTATTTAGAACAAAATTGCATTCCTCGGCGGCTACGCATTTCCCAGTTCTTGCAGTGTCCTTTCTTGACAATATGCAGCAATCTGCTCAATCAATATCTGTAATGAGGCCCAATTACCTCCACTTTCCTCCTCATTTATTAAGACTTGATGTAAGTGAGGAGTTCATCTTTGTCCATCTGGTAATGACTCTTCTTCCAGATGTCGCGGAGCTTCTGTAAGGTGGCGCCTATCTCCTTGCCCGACGTGACCCCGAGCCTCCTCAGATCGTGACCGCTGACGGGGAAGCGAGGGACGGACCACCTGCTGAGCTCTGCCAGCAGCTTGTCCTCGCCTTGATACTTCAGCAGCTCACACACTTTACTCTGGGAGTCCAGGTCCCGGCTCTGAAAACATACAGCACGTGTGGGAATTACACACTGAAAACCTGAAGTATTTTTCTATAACATAAAATAATCCTAACTTTAAAAAACGTAAATTAAGGCATGATTTTGATCATTTAAACACTCAGCTGATCTGCTGAGTGCTGTCTGATCAGATTTGATTGACAGCGGCTGACGACCAGAAGCAGAAAATCCCCCTCACTGTCGTCACCCTTTGATTAAATCATTCCTGAACCCTGATTGGTTCACAGTAATTTGTGACATCACATTTTTCCAGCTGAGCTCGGCCCACTTCAAACCAGTACGAAGAGCACAGTGGGAAAAACACAGACGCATACCCGGTGTGTTCATGAACAGTGTGTACACATGTAGGACCACTTCACCTGTAATAACAAGACGAATGTGACGCCTTTGTGATCCAGTTATTCTGTAGCGAGATGTCTCTTTCTTTTTTGAAATATCCACTCATCCTGCTTCGTCGAACTCAACAGAATTATTTCAAAGCTAAATCCAGTGTGGAGCTACGTTGAACTGATCACATCTGAATCCTTTCGAATTCATTCAAGCTATGATATTCATGTTAAAACTAAGAAATGAAACTTCCAAGTTAGCCGGTCAAATAACTGAAATGTATGTAAAACGGATAACATACTTGTTATTAAGATAAATGAGAGCCAGAAAATTGCGGTAAGTTCTTCTTGCTAATAATCATAAAAAAGGCGAGACGATTATTCAAAAAGACATTTGTTGGATCCGAGCACTTAGAAACAGATTCATTCTGATTGGTCTTTGCGAACTCAATCCTTGTTAGTGATGACAAACATTCATAGAAAGCCTTTCACCGGGACACATTAGTATGAGAGGGAACACGTCGCAATCAGATGTGGGTGATGGATGTAAGAGGTGAGTTAAAGAGCACGATTCCTGCATTTAAAGTGGGGCTGTAACTACAATGAACGTCATGGTTGGTTAATCTGCTGATTATTTGACTCGTTAATAGTTTGTCACAGAGCCCAAGGTGACGTCTTTAAATAGCGTATTCTGTCTGCTTCTTGTCATAGAAGACTAAGAAAACAAGCAAATATTCACATTTGAGCCCGAAACAGTCAAGTTTTTGCATCTTTCCTTAAAGAAAAAAAGAATTATAGATTATAGATTGATCGATCTTTTGACCGACTAGTCGATAAATCCACAGATCGTTTTTGCGCTAGTTCAAAGCATGTGTTATCAAGAACCACATTGTTCTGGTAAGTGTCCCAACTATAAATCTCTCCATCTCTTTTTAATTTAAAAACAAAAGAACGATCGCCATCCGACAACTGCAGGAGGCCGAGACTTACGTCAAAGATAAAGTCAGTGAAGGGTTTGAGGCTGTCCGGCTCGTCTTCGCTCTTGCGGAGCTCCCGTCGGTGTTTGACCAGGAACAGAGCCAGAGTCTTCTCCTCCCTGGACACCTTCAGCCGGATGTCCATCTTTTCCACCTCCTCCGGGCGGTGGAAGAGAGCAGCCAGGACCGTCATGGGCTTGGGAGAGCGGTCTTTGGCTTTCTGCCACACTCGCTTCATCTCCTCGACGTTGCCATCTGGAGGTAAACCTGAGGAGGTGCGGAGACGGGAGGGACTTTAAACAACGACAGAAACTAAGCACGACAAAGAACACAAAGACATTTTACTGTTGATGACTGTTCTTTTTTGCTTAACAACATAATTAAGCAAATATTAATAGTAATGGTTGATGAATAAACTAGGTGTGTAATAAAGCAAATGCTTGCATTTCTCTGATTTTGGGTATTTTTTTTATATACCATCTTAAATCCATGTCAATGTATTGTTTCTTTGTACATTTAGGCACAGCAGCATACCCAATTTATACATGCCAGGCTGAACACCCATGTGTTTGTCCTTCTTGTTTACCAGGTTTTGTGTTTAACACCACAACACTATGCGTTGGAGGTAATTCCCTCAGACAAAGTCTGCAGAAATGCAGAGTTACGGAAAGTGTGCATAGAGGGCTCAAAGTGTCTGCGAGAGAGCCCTCGTGCACATGACTAATTGACAATAGGACAGACCTGAGCCCTCGCGGATTTAACGGCAATGCTCCTCGAAGTCTGCGAGTCTGGACATTGAGATCGGACCAATGACTTAATGTTTAAAAAACACACAATACGTATTCCCATTTCCCCCTCTGCTCATAGTCTTCACGCTGAGGTGAGCCAGTCGTCTCCTGGCTCCAGCTTCATATTCGGAATATTCATATTTGGGGTTTTGTTCTGATTTGTTTTGTTCTGTCCCGTGTTATAGTTCCTCATTCCTCCTCAGATGCCTGAAAAAAAAATACTTTCATTCCCTTCCCCCCCCCCCCCTCTCACCTATGTACTGGGCCAGGTCCAGACTGTACATCAGCTCCAGCATATGCGCAGCGTGGTTACCAACAACCATCTTCTTCAGTTCCATCCAAATGCGTTCTCCTGATATGGCTGCAAGTCCCCGACCGTTCTCCTTAATAGCAGCCAGCGTCTCGGCCTCGTGGCCGTCAGGCTCCAGGGCCACCCTGCCGTAGAACCTTGGAGTGAATTGAGACGGTTCAGGTCAAAGCGCTTTTAGGTCAGAGAAATACAAACAGTGATTTTCTTCTTTCGCTTTTTTAAAATATATTATTATTATTATTATTATTATTATTATATATTAGCCCACCTAAAATAGCGCAGTATTCTCAAGTAGTCCTCTTGGATTCTTTGTTCAGCGCTGCCAACAAATCGAACTTCACGATTCTGCAGGTCTTCGTATCCTTTGAAATAGTCATATAATGTGCCATCAAGCCCTATAAAATATGAACAAAACACAAGTGTAATAAATGTAATAAAATGAGTGACAATGTCCCCTGAACTGATCCCACGTGCACAAACACACAAATACCTAAAAACATGGAATTGATGGTGAGGTCTCTCCGCTCAGCGTCTTTCTGCCAGTCAGTGGTGAACTCCACCTCTGCATGACGTCCATCCGTCTCGACATCCACACGCAACGTGGTCACCTCGAAGTTCTCATTGTGTAGCTATAAAAAGATTAAAAAACAACCAGTAAACAAAACACAGATGACTAGAGGCTCGGCAAAGACTCCCATAATGCCCTCAGTGACATGAACATAGTCCCTCATTCTGAAGTCAACCAACTCTCCCTTCCAGGTAGAGCAGTATGACAGAACTAAATAGCTGTGTGACAAGCTGTAAAGCTACCTGATGCCATTAGAACAGTGTAGGTGTTTTTATTTATATAACCTTATGGAATAAAAGAATATCAAAATCAATGTTCGAGCTTCCTGCCTTGCTGGGCTGCTAATCTGTGTGGTGTTTTCCCACAATCCATCAGGATGGCTGATCCAAATAACTCGCTTATTTGATCGATCAGACTGCATGTGTAAGACGAAAATGACCCATTTAGTGCTATAGCCTCCCATGATGCAACTGGCTGGTCCAACAACAATGATCTTGTATGCCTCTTACTCTTGCTGTAATGGTGCCATGCGTCTCTCCTTTGTTGTTGATCATCCTGATGCCAGCTTTTTGGAACATGTCCTTCATCTCCTCTGGAGTGGCCGTGGTGGCAAAGTCCACGTCTTCAGGCCGCTTCCCAGAGAGCAGGTCTCGTACAGCACCTCCGGCGATCCTCAGCTCATGCTGGTGCTTCTCAAAAACCTCTGGAGAGAAGGAACACACACGCTTACAGGAGCTGGGTAACGTTTCAGAGGAAGTGAGTCTGGAGGCACAAACAATCTCACTGTTGAATCAAACCTGGAGGGACAGAGCTGGAGAAGAAGCTTTCCAAAAACATCCCAATTATTATTTTTTCCCTTTTTATATTATGAATGCAGTTCTCACTTTGACAATTAGCTAACAAGTCTTCTTGACTCCATCTTAGGATATTTCACTGAAACAATGAGATTATCACCTCTTCTGGAGATATTATGGAAACGTGTTTTAGCCTTTTAATGCGTGTGAAGTGGCAGTTAAACCAACAATCACAAAATCATCTATGTTCACTCATGGCTGGCCTTAGAGATAAAATGAATAGAGCCTGTTCCAAAGTGGAGATGTAGAGTGTATATGTACCAGACAAAGAGGGTTTTACAAAAACATTATATTGGTTGCACTATGAGAAATAGAAGATCTATCTATTTTTGGCATTTGGTCCAAACTAGGGAATAAAAGTCAGAATATTTTGGCCTCTGCTGCATTAATATTGACAATTTGAATCCGTCTCTGGCCCAGAACCCCAACTTCATGGGACTGCAATACTAACTACCTGAAAAACATACAACATTCCATGAGTCATTATCTAATAATTGGGATAAAAAAGACTTCCCGACATGACTTTATATTTGGATTTCACTGAGCCTGGCCATTACTAGATTTATGAGTATATATATTGAGTGGGACATATTAAAGCAGAACATAGTAAAACATGTCAGTGCTCTCTGGTGGACGAACTGTCACAGTGACAATGTTTCTGAATAATTTCCTAAATCTTACATCCCTGTGTACTGCAAGTGCCTCTCTCATTTGTAGACCACGCACTACCTTTGTTGCCAATGACTGAGAGTTGTATGGGACCATATCTCACCTGCTAGTCCATTCAGCCCATCCGAGAACAGAGACTGGAACTCACTGGTCTTCAGCTTCATAGTGAAGAGACTCCTCCAACAGACCGATGTTCTACCAATCACACGAGGACTCAATACTCTGCTCCACATCTGTCACAACATAAACAAAAAGTCACCGTATTACATCATTTGAGCTACATGTCATTGCGTTCCCAAGCTCGTTAGAGGTCCGCGTGCACTTGTCGCGGTGTCCACGCCGTGTGTCACAGATCTCCAACACACGCGCAACATCCACGTGTGAATGTAAACACACCAAACATAACAGTTAGGACCAACCTGCGACTTAAACAAGGAGCTGTTATAACCAGACAACGTTGTTGTCACTTCATGGTATCCCTCTCTCTGCTGCTAAAGCTTGGCAGGAAGTGTTTCAGCCACGTGCCGTTTCTGACCAATGAGGTTTCACCCAGGCTGAGGAGGCGGGGCTTAAGATAACGAGCTTTCAACAGCTTCTCGCGAGAGTTTAGTTCGTGGCTTTAGGTGACTTTTTCCGGCTGATGAAGCGGATACACCGTACTGTCAGATTAGTGAACGGAACAAATGGCTGAAGTGCAGCTGACACCGCTCAGACTGTGGGACGACTTCTACCCCGGCTCGGAAAGATTCGCCAAACCGGACGGGAAAGATTTGGCGAGATGGAACAACAGGGTTGTCAGCAACCTGCTTTATTATCAAACTAACTACTTGGTTCTGGCCATCGCAGTTTTCCTGTTTGTAGGGTAAGTTACATTGTAACTTTATGATATCAATACAGCAGCTGTCAAACGCTTGTTTTGGTTATTCTCTGGCAACTTTTCAGGTTGTTTGGGGGTTGCTCGTCCACTTTTGTTGTCGTTACCGTTGCCATAGTGCCAACTTGGATGTAGCCTCCTTTAAAGGGATTAAAGATAATGGTGCAGACTGGGTGCAGGCTGTTATGTGAGAAAGAGTTGAAAGGAGTCCCGTTAGAATGAGTGGAAAGATATTGTTCCTGCTATAAAGTGATGCACTGTTACTCTTATGTACTGTCAGTGTGAAATATCTTCTTTCTCAACATGGGAACCAAAGCCAACAACATTCATCCAGTTTGTGCCCCTCGTGTAGAAACACACATTCATTGATTATTAATATATAAGTGTTAAACGATAAATACAATAACATGAGGCTCCTATGATGTACTCATGTGGAAGCACATTCAAATGAATCAATGTTGTGCCCTGACTCATGCAGTACAAGGACCAAAATCAAGATTTCCACAAGTGTGAGGTCTATTATCAGATAATAGATACCAGGTAGATTCAATCAGACGGAGAACGCACACGGTTTAAATCTAGGAAGCGTCTTGGCTTTAGTTGGCACTTTGTTCCATCTAAATCCCAGTTTACTAAAAATAGCGGTGCCCTGTCACGGTCTGCCCGCTGACCTGCATGATGACACATTGTTGCTCTGGTCATGGAGGCCTCATAAGCCGTGTGTCTAGTCAGCTGTTGGAGAGCACAGAGAAAACAGCAACTTTAATCAGCTGATTGGGGAGATCTCCCAGTATATGTAGTTATTGTTACTGTCACATGGAAAAGGACACACCAGGTTGGCCGCCTGCTGCGCGTCATAAGAATGCAGGCAGAGGTAGTAGTCGTGTTTTGTTTTATGGTTCGTTAAATCTATGAAGAGGCAACACTAGTTTCCCAACTTAGTTGCAGGGTTATATGTGATGATGTGAGAGGTTCCATCAGATGCAGCGGTTCAGGAGAGGTCTTCCTACGAGCTCACCATGACACAGTGCAAGTGAGGACTTGTTTGTTTACAAGAGACTTTGCATGACATGGAAATATCATATTGTAAATGTTTACACAGCACAATCGATATCCCTCGCTCGGTATGAAACATGGCTTCAGGGAGATAGTTTTATGTAGTGTCAGTAACAGATACAATTTACAATACTATACAGAGGTTGACCTGACTAATAAGGGCCTGACATAAGCTGACATAAGCGTATTAAATATATATTGATATCAGCAAATATGTCAACCACAAATTGCTGTACAGAAATTGATATTTTACATGTTTATGAGGCATCTTTTGAGTAGAACATGTTTCTATAAACTCAATAATATAATGCCAAATACACAAAACAGTGTCCCAGAGGAACGCTGTGGTTGGCCTTTAAAATAAAACAATATCTGCAAACTGTCTTTGAGTTTTCTTCAGCTTTGTGAGACCTGTTTTCCAGGATCGCCGGTGTTTATGAAGACGAGCCTGAGTGAGTTGAACTCAGTGTGAGACAGGCTCTGTGAGGTCACGGACTCGGTTTGATGACATCACCGTAGTCGTGCCAAGTCTTGATTTTATCCCACAAAGCTTTTCTATCCAAGCCGTCTGTCCAGGCAGGGAGATCACAACAGTAGATGTGATGCAGGTTCAAATCCTGATGGAGCAGTAACTATACTGTGTACAATATGTGGCTGATTTTTATTTTTCATCTTTTTGTGTCCCAACTAAATTATTGCAGCGTTTTGGAAAAATGTAAGGTTTTGGGGGTTTTCAGAGCTACAACTAAAGCCTATTTTCATTGTACATGAATTTGTCGGTTATTTCTCATGATTAGTGGATTAATCATTTGGTATTTAAAATATTAGAAAATAGAGAAAATATTAAAATAATAATTTCCCAAGGGGCACCTTTTTTATTTCCTTATCAGATGTTCATCTGTGGTCCTGTCCTGTTAGTAGAACAGACGCATTGCTAATAGGTGTCTTGTTGTCCAAACGCCGTCTAACCACTAGGGGGAGCCAGTGACCACACACACACACACACACACACACGCTCCAGTTGAAAGCAGAGCAGTTTCAAACTGACCCCTCTGCTCCTCTCGTGTCCTGTGTTGCTGCCACGCAGGTTCCTGAACCCTCTGGGGATGTTCACAGCCACGGCCGTGGTGTCGGCCGTCTTCATGGCCTCGGTGTGGGCCGGAGAGAACAGAGCTGCGATCAGCGACTTCAAGAGGCACAATCCCGCGGCCTTCGTGATCGCCGTCATGGTCGCCAGCTACATGTTGATCTCTCTGCTGGGGAGCGTCATGGTGTTTATGACGGCCATCACTTTACCTCTGGCTCGTGAGTTCACGATGATACTGTAGCACGTGAATGTAATATAATACACGTTACTGCGATATCATTTCTGGCAACAACAAAAAAAGTAAACAGACAAATATTAAACTAATCAGTTAAATAAATATGTTTTATGACATCATAGATAGTTAGAGGATTATGATCGTTGCATTTGAAGTGTTGTGAAATGAACCCTAGGCTTCAGCCTTCTTTCTAAATCTATAAAACATGTTTTGGACTGAAATCTTTAAGATCTTCAGAGACTGATGCTCCGATAGTTTGACTTGAACAAAAGTTTTACAGGTTTGTTTTTGCCAAGCTTTTTAAAGCATTAACAGTCTCTTTTTCTCATCTGCTTTCTTTTTTTTTTTCAGTGATATTTGCACACGCTTCCTTTCGCCTCCGCAACATGAAGAATAAACTGGAGAACAAGATCGAGGGAGCCGGACTGAAGAGGTCCCCCATGGGCATCTTGCTGGAGGCTCTGGGCCAGCAAGAGGAGAACTTACAAAAGATCCAGAGCTTCCTGGAGGGAAAACTGAAGGAGTGATTGTGCACTCGTGTGTTCTTCTTTTTCGCCAAAGATCTTGACTTTTTGTCTCAATCTAAACCTCTTAAAGTTTGTTTCATGTACTGTGTGTGTTCACCCGTGTGTGTGTGTGTATGTGTTTTGAGAAGAAAGACTGTAATCTATTATCTCCTCCCTCAGGGTATCCGTCACTCCACTCAGAACTTGTCGGGACACTTTTTTCTCAAACGGTGGTGACACACATCTCACATCTCTGCTATGCAATGTGTCAGTGTTCATGTGAAGCACAGCTGCGGACTCCTTTTTTCTCGGTTTATGAAATCTGTGTTTAATCAGTCTGAGAACCAGCCGTCGGTCCTGTCGGCCAGAATTGTGAAAGCAATGCAAGTGTTGCTTTGTAACAAAGAAAAAAAAAAAAACAGTGCACAGTCAACACGCATCACTGCCGGGTCTGTACTGTTGGAAGCTTTTGACTAATGTCTCCTCACTTAAAAATCTAAAAGTTGACTGAAGTATGCATTTGAATAGAAATAAACCAACTTCATGTTCACGCAGATAGAACAGAGAAAGCACTGCTTTGTCTTGAGCTGTGGAATACATGTGACTCCAAACACTGATCACTGTGTCAATATAAATGAAGACTTCAAAGGAGTGCGAGGTCTTAACCTGCAGCCATCAGTATTCCTCCTGCACCTCTTGACTGTTTAATCTTGACAATGCCCCCCCCCCCCCGGGTGATGGATTGGCTAACTCCACGTCGTACCCCCAATGCTAATCAATGGGCTGCAGTAGATTATAGAGAGCTGAGCGCTGCACAGTGACAGAGTGGATTCATCTGCAGTCATTCACCTCCAAAGACCCGAGTTAGTCGCTGCGTCAGCTTCTTCCAGCTGCTTTTTTTTATTTATTGGATTCCATTTGAAATTGGCTGCAGATAACGAGAATCCATGTGGAACGTACAGCCCTGTTATTTGGTTATGTGGCAGCGTGACGATAAGAATGATGGGCATTAAAAAGAGTAATCACTTCAGAGGGCTGTGATGTTTTTTCATGTGTCCACGTTAACCCTTTGCTTTCAGAATGACACTTTAAGGCAGCATCATTTGCCCATACGGTATTTATCTTCTGACGACTTCCGCATACTCGGGCTCTCCAGGTTAACTTTGACTTTAGCTGCAAGGCTTTCCCGCCTCTCTGCTACAGTAGTGATTGATGTCCTCTCCTGCGGTGCCTCATCTCCATCCATATTGTGCAACTTGGAGGAGTGAACCAGAGTGCTGGTGGCCATAAACTCAAGTGAAGTCTTATGTCTCCCGGGGCACAGTGGAGGCCCTTGTTCAGCTGCAGCTGCTGTTAGGATCCGACCAACACGTGTGCGCTGCCGCACGCCCAACAGGTGCGTGATTTCTCCTCGACGGACGTGTAATCCAGGAGAGGAGGTCACAAACACACACACACACAAAACAACACTTAACCTTTCTTGGTGTTTTTGCACGAGTCGACACGACTTAACCCAAGTTGTCATTGTGAAACGACCATAATTGCTTCCACAGGTAACCGTCGGTGAGGCAATAGAAGTCAGTGGACGCGACACAAAAACAAACGTGTACTGTTTCTGCTCGAGCTGCTAAGTAACGGCACCGTGCGTGCTTTTTGACTTGCAACATCTGTTTAGTTTCAACCACAAACGAAACAAGGCGTGGGACAGGGAGACATCTAGTTTTATACAATACTTCATGTTGTTGGTGATAAACAGCCCGCTGCCTCTGGGTTGACCCCTTTTGGGCTGACCCCTTCATCCCTCAGCTTGCTTGAGAGGCTTCGGCTTTTGGCCGGCCTAGCCTGTTAGCCAGCCTCATAACTCAAGCCAGCCTGTCAGTGAGCAGATGTGGCTGATTGGGCCTTTACTCCAGCTGATCATGTGACACGTTAAAGATGACAGGCTGTGACCTTTGCAGTCTCCTTAGGTTAGCTCTTCAACCATGCATGTTTAAAGAGAAATGGATGCAGCGTCGGAGGCGGAGCCCCCATGCTTTCCTTTGATAGTTGCTCAGAGGCGCATGAAGCACAATAAAAAATCAGATGAAAATACCCGGATTTTCCGGCAATGTCCCGCATTCATGGACCCGTAGAGCATGCGCACTAGCGTCTCCTTTAACCCCGCCTCCTCGACCTCGGTCCAGCCCACAGTATATGGTCCAGCCCAGGCGGTTCTGCCGAGTGAAGCCAATGCATGTCTTAAAACGTGCATTCTCTCTATTGACCAGCAGGGGGCGGCAACTCTGGTTGCAAAAAGAAGTCTGATTGTATAGAAGTCTATGAGAAATGACTCTACTTCTCTCTTGATTTATTACCTCAGTAAACATTGTAAACATGAGTTTATGGTCTCAATCGCTAGTTTCAAGTGTTTTTCAATACAGCATGATGTTCATTTTGTAAATTATGGTCCATTTAGAGTCAAATAGACCATAATGGTATGCTTTAGGGTGGGCTTACTGTGAGAAAAAAACAACATGGAGAAGGCCGTATTCCAAGATTGCGACAGTGAAATCGCTAAACTCGAGGCTCCATAACGGCAGTCCACAAACCAATGGGTGACGTCACAATGACTACGTTCACTTCTTACATACAGTCTGTGGTCCAGCTTCGTTCTCAGGCTCCTTCACATTAACGGAGGAAGGAAAATATCTCTGGATTGGGCTATAGTGCACTACGCAACTTTTAGGACCTAATAAATCATTACGGACCTCTCCTTCCCAATGTAAGTCTATGGGGAAAATGACGTGACGGACCTGGAAACTTTCATTCCACCGTTTGGCCACTATGTTTGCTTCAAAAGCCTGGTGCTCTTCCTGGGGGCTTGTCCCATGCTTTCACTGCCTCCTCGACAGAAGGTCATCCGTAGTAGCCCACGTGACCGCTCAGCTAATCCATCTATTCACCCTTTATAACTTGTCCGAGCCATTACTCCCTTGGATCGAGGTAAGTGTGCTGATCCTTTGAGAGGCATAACACGATTTATAGTCACTTTAATCTGAGTTTGGTGTCCTATGGTCCGGCTGACATGTGTGACATCCGTGTGGTCTATGGGTTTTGTTTAAAATATGCTGTATCAGTAGTTTCAATACGGACACCAAAACAATACTTATTTCAATACCTTACAAACATTTTTAAAGGAGCAGTGGTGTCCAATCTAACGGTAACATTTCTCCCTTGTGTAAGAGAACTACGGTGCCCCAAGTGAAAGCGCAAAGGGCCCTGTCTATAGTTTGTCCGTTCAGGGCTACTGTAGAAACATGGAGGCCGACATACTTATATTATATTCCCTTTCTTCCAATAGATCCCCCTAAATGCTTCATGCTGTTCCTTTAACAAAAAAAGTCCCAAATGCTAATGTTGAAACACAAGCAGCTGTATAATTACCTTTCCTTCATAAGATTGGCAAAATGGATTGTATTGGAAAAAGCAGCATTAAATGATTTTTGTTCGATGAGGAGGAAAGTAGATAGGAGCCCATTGTTTATGTAGTGGAGTGTCAGCTGGAGCAGCCTCGCCTGATGTCTGGCTGCAGCTGGTGTGAAGCAGCAGAGACAGAGGGAGACAGCTGGATACAAAACAACCCAACCCAACCCAACCCCACACACTGCCTCGGGTAAAGCCAAGGAGCTGAAAGTGTCTGAGACCTCCCCTGAGCTCGCTCAAGAAGCAAAAAACACAGAGAAAAGCTGCTCAACTGTGGCCTTCACAGGGAAGGAAGCAGAGGCAGGACACTAATAGAAAATGTGTCCTGGCTAGGGAAGGAAGGAAGGAAGGGAAACGAGGTGAAGGGTTATAGGATAATCTACAGGGTAGGGGGGGGTAGGGGTGTGGGGCAATGCATGTGTATAGCAGGTTTTACAACATGGATGCCTACGGGGAGGGTTTGGTGTTATAACCACTAGTTGTCATTCACAGGGAGGACAGAAGAACAGGTTATAGCCCATAATGGGTGTGACAGCTTTTAAAGACCGGTTCGGTCGGTTTTTACGGCTCAACGACGCTGAAAACGAGGCTCCGCAGCAGCTGGTGGGAACACGCAGCAGAGCAGCAGGGCAGCAGAGCTCTGCAGCAGGAGAGCGTCTCTAAGAGATGATCATTTATTCATAATCGGCTCGCATCACGACTGATTGCAGCTCGGCATACAAGCACACACAAAAAAAAGAAACTCTTCAGTTATCTTTCCAACTATAATCTGCCTCCTTGAATGCACTGCAGTGGAGAATGTATTCATGTGTTCCAGTTTGCCAAGAACACCATTCTAACGGCTGTTTTTCAGAGCAATACAATCTAAATGAGACTCGAGGTTATTTGGTTTCTTCAAACCTCATTTCATTAATTGAACCGTCTGAACAAACGTTCAATTACCTAATTTAATGGATTTGGATTTAAATCCTGTTTTCCCGCACTCCGACGGAGGAGACTTTAAAACTTTTAAGTATGTATACTGTATAAATAAATATGACCCTCAAACTGAACCGATTCAAATTTTTTTTAATTCAAACAAATGCAATTTTACAAATTACTAAGAACCAGCTTAAAAATCAGTTGCTTACTATATATTACATGCTTTTCAAATACATACAAATGCACTAAAAAAAGACGGAACCAGTGTATTTACAAAACCAACATTTACATACAGCTTCCCTCTCTTGAGAGCAACTGGGAGCACCACTCCATGATGTCCAGCATGGATGAAATAACCATGTTACAATAAAAAGGTCCAAAAACGGAAATTTCCTTTTTCCTGCAGTGACTGATCAGATGTGGCAGTGATATCAAAGTTTGTGACTTCAGGTAATACTCAAACGGTGACAAGTATTTGGCTCAATTGTATTGTAAGTACTGACAGTGAGACAGACTGAATACTTTGTAAATGACAACCAAGTGTACACTGTGGTAGTTACAAGCTATGCGATGATAAAACTGACTGCGGGATGTTCCAGGAAGTAGCCATCTTTCTGACAAATTTTTCAACGAGTTTAATCCTTCATTTGTTTGATAAAGTCCTTATCAAAGCTCGTCCAATCCTTCATGGTTACAGTGTTCATACATGTGTGTGTGTGTGTGTGTGTGTGTGGGGCAGAGCGTCACTGCGCTCTCACAGAGACAGTCCTAGTCCTTGGTTTGTGAAGCCCGAATCTCTACAGAGAAACACCGGAGATCTTTAGTCCACACGGTCCACAGCAGGTCCTGGTATAGTTTCAGTGCACAAGTGCCATCACCACAAACACTCGCAATCCAGCAATGATGCCCGGCGTTGGGTTTAGTTCTGATCACAAGGCTGTGGGTCGGTTTGGCTATTGCATTTCAAGAGAACAGAAAACGAGAGGAATCCAGTTCCTTTACGGTCAAGTTTCTTCAATCTTTGGATCCTCTTGTAAAGAAAAACAGGTAAGTGCAGTCTAAGGCACAATGACAACTCGTCACGGTGAAGGAGTTAATACAGCGCACTGACAGACAGGCAGCTACACTATTGTTCCCGGTTTTGAGTCCTCGTGCCAGCAAATCTGGTCCTCGGGCTCCAGGTCAGTGTGCATTTGGTGACTACTGTGTGAGTCCACTTGGCTGACGTCTATGTAGGATCTGTAAAAAACACACCAGATTGAAACACGTTAGACAAGGTAACAAACTGAATGTAGCTTGTGACTGGTTAACTACGTAGAATGAATTAACCCCGGTCTGTCAAATCAGCTTTGAAGTGCCAAGTTCAGGCAACTAAGTCATGTACTGTGTTACTTCATGTGTTTCAGGCGTGTTAATATTAATCTGTTTCAGAAGAAGGTAAACCCAGGGTCAAACATTCTCACCCAACAACACAGCAGATGCACACAGATGTGAAACACACGCATAGCCTTCAGATGAGACGATATTCAGGGGTCACATTTCATCCACTGCCACACAAGTGCTCTCCCACCACCACAACACACCCAGAGCAATGAAGCACAAATCAGCCAGAGCAATGTGAAATGATTTGGAGCTTTCTGTTAGTCCCTGCCACATGTATTAAAAAAGAAAAGAGCCACACCACCATCACCATGATAACCGTGTGGGGAAGTTTTTACATTGTCGTCTCTCACCCTTTCTTCTGTGCTGTGACTGTTAATTGGGGGGGAGGGGGGGTAATTTTCCTGGTCAGTAGCATAGGCAACAGCACCACACCTCTCTAAAGGCCCCGCGGGGCGCGCCATCCTATCACAGCTCCGCCACTCAAACTCTGTGGGACATCTGCGTATGAGAGGGGGGGGGCAAAGATCAATGGGTGAGTGGCAGCACATGGGCAGGGAGTCTGCACGGGCCGAGAAGAAGGCAAACAGCAGAGTGCAAAACGAACTGTGGAAAGCACAGGGCAGAGAAATGTGACCACTGGATGACATTTATGCCAGCTGGAAGTGGAAGTAGGGCAGGCGTGTTTATTTTGTATTTTTTTTTTTTTTTTTTAAAGAAGCCATGCAGTTACTTCATCATACATGACAATGAAAGAAAGACGAGTCAAACATCTCAAAAATGCAAAGTTCACTTCAAAACATCAACAAGCAGACTACGGAGTCACGTTGCAGACAAACTGAGAGAAGCAAACGCGCAGGCTCCGGGCCGCTGCTGTTTACTTACTATGAACTACCTTTAGCAAAGGACACCTTATTGAGCCTGTGCCCTCTGGAGGATTGAGGCTGCGCGGGGCTGGAGGCCACCTGCCTGACCCGACAGCCGGGGGAGTAGGTGGAGGATAAAAGGGGAGAGGAGGAGGAGGGGGGCGGGGAAGAGGTGGAGGAGGAAGCTGGGGGGGAAGAACTAGCAGGGAAAACGGCACAGCGCCTCCGGTCATCGGGGCTGTGCCAGGGGCCCTTAAAAGTCCCGGAGGCGCCATATCTATAAGAAAGCAGGGGCCAGTGGACAGTTAAAGAGGAGAGCAGGACCAGTCTTAAACTCGGAGGAAGAACTGACCGCAGGCTGCACAGATCCTATAATCGTACCGCTGAGCCAGTTAAGCAGACTCATGTTTTCTCATTTCCTAACTTACGGTTGAAGAAAAGGTAACAACGACTATACATCAGTCCACAGTATTGTTGCGCGTAAAAGGGGATAACAACACCAAATGGCAGCTTATATCTTCTGTAGCCATCCATTCTAGGTAATTAAACAGTAGTGCTTAGGTTAGGATAAGAGGGATCAGGGAGTGGCTTATTGGATAAGGAGATGAGTTGTTTTTGTTTTCTCACCTGTTGTGGGCGGAGTGGCTGTAGGGGGCTGTCTTGTAGGAGTAGGACTGCGGCGCGTGCACGGGCATGCCGTATTCCGACATACCACCACCGACACTCGCGTGGCCTCGCCAGTTTGCGCTAGAGGACACTGAGGACACTGGAGAAGGAAAAAAAACAAATGGTCAGCAACTGACCCACCTACATAACAACATAACGCACTGAAGTGTGTAATACAGGGTGCAGTGATCTCACTTGTGGAGTAGGACATGTTCCTGCCGTTGTGGCTGTTGTGCGGTGCAGGCATGGTCTGATAGCCCAGGCTCTGCTGAGAGCCTCTGTCGTAGTCGTAGTTGTATGCCGCCTGTTTGTGCGTTGCGTTGCGTTGGTACCAGCCCCTCAAGTGCTCGGCCACCATAGCCTTCTGGACGTTGTTGCCAATCTGCTCGTTGCCGCGGGGCGCCTGACGGTTCCTGGGCGGCCTCAGCGTGGCGTACGGGTTCTGGGCCATGGAGTCCATCTCGTCGGCGCGGTAGTGCATGTCGTGGCCGTGGTAAGCTGTCGGGGCGTGGTGGTACGAGGGATTGACGTTATAGTGTCCTTCCATCTCGTTTTCGTACATGTAGACTCCGTTGGAGTAAGGCTCCGGTTCCGGGTAGCTGGGATAGCCCGTCACGTAGTAGGCTGTCGTGGTGGGTCTGGCCCGCTGCTGGTAGCAGCGGGTGTCCGGCTGAGCCAGGTTGGGCATGCTGCCCGAGTTGGCGTACTGGTCTTTCCTGTGGCGGCCGCGAGCTCTGTGCCGGTGCGCGTGGTTACCGGGGACGCTGTACTCGGCGCTGGACTGGCTCGTGTAGGAGGAGCCGTCATCGAGGACCTCCGTGCTGTTGCTGCGTCGGGCCGGGGAGAAGGTGAATGTCGGCGCGGGAGCTTCAGTCTCCGTCGTGAGCTGAGACTGGGACTCCAGACTGCCGCTGCGCTGGCGGAAATGTTGTGGAGCATCCTCTGATCTGTGATTTAAAAACAATAATTAAAAGCTGTATGTTGTATCTATATGTTGTCTTCATTAATTTAGCTATTAGCAGATGGATTGCGGTTTCTCGTAGATACACGTGCACAACCAAGACTGGTGTGTAACTGGCTCCATGAGCTGTGGATGAGGCAGACATTTGAGAGAAAACAAATAAAGTGATGAATCAGGGCCCTACCTGAGCTGGTTGCTGCTGTAGGCGTTGCGGGTGAGGAGGGGGGTGGGGGGCATGCTGCGGGCATCACGTGGCTGTCTGGAAGCCAGTTTAAACGGAGTGCAGTGGCTTGCTAAGGCCTCGCGGTGACTGTAGTGGAGTGATTCCTGGACTTGTCCGTAATGTAATCTGGAACACAGATAAGAACAATGTTTTCTCTTTAGGTCAGAAGAGCTTGTTATTGAGATAAAACACATCTACCATCTCTTCATTTGCTCTTAAAAAAGAAGCAGAACTGTCACACTTGAATGACTGCCATTACAAAGTCCTTTGGTCTTTCTTTTCACGCAACAGCAAGCATTATGGCGGTTTATAATGAGATTAAATCAACCACATCATTTTTGTAAATAGCCCTGAAGTAGGTGCCATTTAAACTACTTTTCCAGGGCCACTTTCCTGTTTCCCCCTTTCTTCTCTGCCCTCTTATTGGAATTGTTGTCTGCTCCTTCACAGGCAGCGACATGTTCTTTTCCATCTATTTTTAAAGTTGGTGCGTTGGGCTGATAAGAGGGAGATTGTTGGAGAGGCAGGAAAAGGAGGGAGGAGGAGGAGACTGGCAGGAATGCAGCTCTGGATCGACTCTACAGGTCTGTACTAGCTCCATGCTACAAAAACAACTGTCAGACACGGAAAATTCATATACATTTCATGGGTGTCAGTGCTGGCTGTATACCTGCTGTCTGCATGCTGGTCATTGCCAGAGCCCCGTCTGTCGTTGTAGTGGATGTCCAGAGTTTCAGCATGGTGTGGTCTGGGGGAATACTGAACCGATCTGGACCGCAGCCTCTGGGAACTGAGCTCATCCTCTGGGAGATAAAAGCGATTGCGATTGGTTAAAATGGATCTAAAATGCAGCAAATAGGGGGAGTGAACACATGACACACTGAGCACGGCTATGCCTGGGAACATACCATCATCCAGAGTGAGGCTGTCAGACAGAGAGCTGAGTTCTGAAAGGTTGACATCATCTGGTAACAGAAGAGAGAGAAAACGGCCCTCAGAGACACCTCCGATATTCCACTTTCATAGAAAGTGACAGACTTTTTAACTCAACTACCACTAATCAATAATGCTCAGCTCTTAAAAATTAATTTCAAGCTTTATTTTACAAGCAAAGCACTGCTGTTGTTGATGACGTCTACCTGGTAAGATCAGCGAGGCTCTCTGGGTGGGCTTCCTTCCTTTCTTGATCCTGTAGGCGTTGATCTCCATCTCGATCTCCTCCAGCTTCCTCATTGCATCTAGACAGTTGTTTCTCCTCTTTTTCTTCACCGTCTTGCCGTGGTCGCCCTCGTTGGACAACTTGATGGCCGCTTCCACGATCTTCTGATGCAAGGCGAACCTGCTCTCCAGATTCCTCAGATGTGGGTCCTGCAGGGGAACACGCAACACGCAGTGAGCAGGGAATTTCCCGACAATAAAGAGCAGAGAAACAGACTTCAAAACACTTCATTTTCGGTGTGCTGACAGATTCCTATTTACATTCATTTTCCCAATTGACAACAAATGTTTCACGCAGAACATTTTGCAATGTAAGCCTCAAACCACACATTAAACTCTTAAGCCTCATTTCAAAAAGTCAAATGATCTCCAGGTCTCCAGGTAAACAAACACAGAGATCTGTGTAACATTCATAATTACACAACAGAGACATATCACAACACAACAACAGCTGTACTGACCTCATCATAGGGGAAAAGGTCATCCAGCTTGAAGGCTGTCCCGACACGCCGTCGTACGTGAGGTGCCTTCTCGCCTGTGGCCAACGGGTACTCGTCAGGCAATCTGCCCGTAAGCTCCTGCAAATGACAACACAACCAACAGTCAGCCGGGAGTGTGGACCTTTACAAACGGCGTTGGAAAGTAATAGAATGAGAGAGATGACTCACTGCTTCTCTCATGCAGATCTTCTTCAGTTCCTCAATTTTCTGCGTCAGCGTGTCTTGAAGGTGTTTTTCTTTCTTTTTCAACTCGGCAACCTTCTCTTTCTTCTGCTCCTCGCTGACTTCAGAGTCGAGGGAACCTGGAACACGCGCACACACATCTGATTAACTGCAAATTACAGCAATCAATCATCACTCATCGTTTATGATGTGGAGCAGAAGCCATTAGCCGATTAACTCTCCGCTTACCGGCTGAGATGAGACTGCCGTTGCTGGCCATGATAAGCTGGTCCCTGCTCTCGATGCTGGACAGTTTAGTGATGATCCGCGGGGCGCAGATCTCTGTGAGGTCCATGGCGATGTCTCCTGAACTCCTGGTTTTGGACATGTTTGACTGTAAGAGGGGGAAGGGGGAGGAAACAGGGAGGAGAAGTAAGGAAAGGAGCAGTGAAGGAGGGATTGTAAGTACTTCATTTTAATGATAGCAGCGGCACCATTTGCATGCTCGGTACCCCGAGTGCGCTGCTCTCTCATCAATCAGTGCGGGCTCTATTCCTGGATGAGCACTGACACACCATCTGCCTTTGAGGGAGACAGCGGCTGAATAACCTCATTTGACTGCAGCCACACGCTCATCCATCTCCGCCACAAAGTGCTCATCACACAACACTTATACTGTATGATAAACCCCGATGCTCAGCAAATATGCATCATGAACACAAACACGAGCGTATCTTCAGCATATTCGGGCACTGGAACAAGGACCTAGGCTGTGAACACATTGGGCCTTTTCCTATTTATTCTCAATGGTGCGGTCGTACATATACATGTATCCCTTCCACACTAATAACTTCATATGGCAAATTGTAGTTTACTTTGGGTTGAATGTGGTTCTTCTTAAGCCACAGGCAAGGCAAAAATAGGCATAATATTAGGCACTCCCTCTACAACTATATCATTCTGCCTGCTATATCTGCAGAGTGATACAAATATTTTACTCAATTACAAGCTCTTGTGCATTTTCAATTGAAGCTACCCAACCGCCTGTTAGCTCAGCTTCAATAGACACGACGATTTCTCAACACAAGGCTCATAGGAACTATTTACATCAGACCTGTCATATCCCTTTATTTACACAAGTCACGGGCATGGGACACGGATCAGGCAGAGCATCACATGATGAACAGTCACCATTACACCACGCTGGGACACTTGCACAATAACCTTTTAAACTGAACTTCTGTCCATATTCAAACTGGAAGAGACAGACAGGAGGTTTGATCCGTCTAAAGGCTCATTTTACAGCCTGGTTAAACAGGCATTAGAGAGTATGAGGCTGTTTTTAACAATATTTAAGTTGGCAAGAGGTGGCAACGAAGTAAAGTGAACAGACACTCACTTTGCTTGTCTTCCTGTCCAGGTAGAACTGGTGCTGACTGATGGCCATCACCCAGATGGTTTTAATCAGAGCGTGGCTGGCATACCACGTGTGAATAACCAGACCAGTCTGTCCGAAGGTTCTCTTGGTCACTGTTCTTCTGCAGAGGATAACAAGAGAAACGTTCAGAGCCCGTGCTCATCCAAGAGGCAAGTCTGTGCAACAGCTGCATACCAACACGAAACAGTTGAAGGTAGATCAACAAAGGCTTTCCTTAAGATTAACAAAAAAAGATGTGCAAATCAAAGATTTAGAAAAGAAGATTAGAATCTTTGGCCAGTTAAATTTGTGGGTGTTTGTGTAATAACGTAGTGAAGAGCGACGAGCGGTGACATCAAGCTCCCTTTGAAACAGACAGTGGGATTTAATGACAGCTTTGGAGGCTTAAAGTGCCACATTAAAGCTTGGGTGAGGGGCAGAGGTCTTATAGCAACATTACAGTAATGAAGTGGACTTTATACAGCAAGAAAACACTCATTTAACATAAAGCTACAGCTATTAACATGGTGTCCTAAGTGGGCCACTGGCTGCAGATGCCCTTCATACTGTAAGGTGTAGGAGAAGGACATCTGAAGCAAGCAGCAGCTACAATGGGAACACTTTAAAACAGTAAAAAGGACCTATTAAGATCAGTTCAGATAGATTAAGCGGGTTGCCTTATCTGACCTGTGTGGGTCGTTCACTTCAACAGCGAATTTCTTCTCTCGGAAATACAAATTCTCTAACTGCTTCCACTGGTACAGCTGTGGAGAGAACGAGACGGTTTGGCAGAGAGAGAGGGGGGGGGGTAGAGAGGCATGACACATCAGTGAGTGCACAAGCCAACACAGAGCTATCAATTAAAATGTGCATTTGCACTCCATAAAACACAAGACACACAAAGGACAGCATCAATTTACTCAGAAAAGCTTTCCTTTAAGCGCCACTTCTTCTTAGTTAACTTTAGCAACATTAGCAGAAAACAACAGAACAGCTGAGGCTGTGAATGGGGCTCGGCGGGCCAGCAGCCGGTCAAGTGTAGGTTTTGGGGGGCTAACACAGGTGCAATCATTATGCTGCTGCTGCATGGAGCAAAATCGTGCCAGGCGGCAGGCCAGTTCCACATTGCATCGTGCTGTGGAGGTCGACAGAGGCGGGACTTCTCTGTGTCACAATGAAACATCTGCTCCACTGATAGTGGGCTCACTGAACAGATCTGGAGCATTTTGTCTGTGAGCAACTTTTCCCTGCGCTCGCTTTGATAAAAAAAGAAACAAAGTCTTTGCTTGACTTAGAAAATGTAAAACCATTGTTTTACCTGATACTGTCCTATAAGAACATGGTTATACATCTCAAACCAGGAGAGAAACCGTGCCGAGGGTAAGAAATCACGATACGTGAACACATCTCCACTTCCACCGAGACAAACATATTGGCTTCATTTATACCGAGCAAACTAACGGTAACACATTACACGTTTACAACAGTGCAGCTCACACAGTGACAGAGCGCCTGTCTCTAGAGCCCATAGAGCCGGTACAACACCACACTACAGAGAGCATTCAGGAGCAAATACAACATTAAACCCTCTCTTTAAAACAGCCGGACAGGTAATAGTTGGACTCAATGAGGAGGCTTACCGTAGAAAGGTATTTCTGTGCTGATCAAATCCCTGTTGAGTTCTCTTGGGTTTTGTATTGAATCTCTTGACTTTGAGCTTCCCACAGGGCTAGAGCTTCCTCGAACAATACGCTCTCTTGTCTGCTCTCAGGGAGCCAGATAGGTGTTGCAAGAGTTTCAGCTGAGCTGGCCACGCCCCCTTCACCACCCCCGCCTCCTCTGACATCACAGATGCATCACAGATACCTCAGGCTGCTCTCTCTCTCTCTCTCTCTCTCTCTCTCTCTCTCTCTCTCTCTCTCAGCTCACTTATTTTTCAGTCAGACAAGATGAGCAGGTTGTACACAAAACATTTTGCAGGGCTAGGTTCTGCTCCACTTCCCGTCACTTGCAGATAAGTCATCGATCCCTTTAAATACTCCACTTCCATCTGGGAAGTTCTCTCTACTTTTCGTATTGTAAATTCCACACAAAGCATTGCTGTGAGGCTGAACCTACTATAACCAGCTCCCCCCACCGGGGCAAACATGTTAGGAATCTGTTACTATGGTCTAATCATTAATAGCGGCGGGGGGGGGCTCTTTTTGCTTTCATGTGGCAAAGGGAGCACTCTGTCAGCTAACCAGGCAAAAAGAAAACACTGTGTGCACTATGCTGACAAGCATGACCCCCCGTTTAATACATGTTGTTGCTACATGTTTAATCTGTCTCGATATCCACGATAACAATGAATGAGAACGTTGGATTTATTGTCAAAGTATAACCACCATTGTCTTTATAATTGCGGGCATCACACAGTCAGGCTACCGGTGAAATGCAGAGCATGGTACTAAATGAACAATGGGAACCACCCAAAGCTCAGGCCAGTTCACACCCTCTAGTCACAACCACCAGCATCATTTACATTGTAACAACAGATGTGGAACAATGGACTATGCGGACATTAAACACACTTTAACAGGATCATTCCTCCTATTAGAGAAACTCCACACCTGTGTGCCAGCACCGACATGAAACTGCTACAGGACTCTCCTGCGAGTGCTCATGAAGCCACGGCCAAAATATTTCAAGGATGTGACACGCCTCAGTCTCCTAAAATCACAAGACCTCTTGCTGCAAGTCCTCTTGAAGAGCAACTTAACTTACAGCTTGAACTCCCTACTTTTTTAGTTCCTGGTCTCATACTTATACGGCTGCGGTCCATCATCTATGTATGAATGTAGATTTACAAGCTCTTCAACTACGAGATTCATATTAATTATTGTTACACTTGACCTCATTTAACGTACGACTCCAGGTGTTACTGTAGTTTATAGATGTATTATTTTTCTCAAAAATCAAGTCTACATTGTTTTCCTACTCAGTGATTCACTGTGGTCGTCAACCCTTCAAGTGGAATCATTGTGCACGCAAGCAAGTTGACTTACTCTGCATCTATATGAAGCAGTGACTCATCAATTCAACTCTTAGAGAGAGAACACAAAAGTAGCCATTTCCTTAAAGCAGCAAACACGGCCGCTTAATAGTGCACTCAAGATTTGAGTGAATGCACTGGATTTTCTGTATCTTCTATCTTTAGTATTTTCATATTTCATCTCCCTTGTTTTTGCCAAACATTTCATTACAGGCGGGTGGAAGTGAACCAGAAATGCCTGTGGTTTCAGATGGGATCAGGCTGTTCACATCCAGCTCACACACCCATAACTCGAGGAACCCCCGGGGGCCACGATTCCACAGAATCTAACATGGATAAAAACGTGTCAAAAGGCTCCGACTTACACGCCTTCACAGAGAAAACATCTGCCACACCCTTCGCATAACACGTCACGCTCGGCCTGGCCACACTGTACTATTCCACACCATGACGCATTGCTAGTTGTGAAAACGTGATAAGAAGACGACGCCGGAAGGCGAGTTTAATCAGAATAAAAAATGACAGAGAAGAGGATCTGTTCAGTTTTCATTTAAACTTCTTTGCTCGCAACTAAGACACTTCTTTCAGGCTGACACTGTCACCCGATAATAAACTGAAGATGTATTTTGGTTCAGCTGGCTCATCATATGTGCGGACCAGCATGTGGTCTCAGAGAGTGTCCCAACACCCACTGGGAGAGAGACACAGAGAGAGAGGAAGAGGGACAGACGAGTGTCCTGGTTTGATTCAGGGAGAATTAAGTCTCGACTGGCCATTTGCTTCAGTCCCGGAACCACTCTTTTCTAGTCCAAGCCCTGTTGAGTTCCTCTGTTTGTGTTCCTGAACCTATCCTCTTCCTACACAACATGTTGCTTCTCCTCTCAGCATCTTCTATTCATTCTTTGTCCCCTGCAGATCTTTGGAATACTTCGCCTATGCCTTTTGTCTGTATAGAAAGTGCTCACTTATATACACTGCATCTAACGCGTGATGGAAACGACAGTATTCATGTTATTAAATGTGCCACTATTCCTAAAACACAGCAGGCCGAGTGGGCTTTTGAGGGCCGGGCTATTCAATATAGAGTGATGAAACTGGCATGCATGCAGGGGGGAGATAATGTGAGGTCAAGCTAGTGTAGCTGCTTTCAATGATTTTCACTAAATAAAAAAAATATAGAAAAAATAAAATAAAGAATCGACACAACTGCCATCCTCCCACCAGTACTACCTCTAAACCCCAGCCCCCCTACACAGATAACTGTTTTGTATTGTTTGATCAATTGTGTTCCCTCCAAGACACACATAGATTACCATAATGAAGGCAGCATGCTGAGAGGGGCTGGGGTGAATACAGGGGCTGTGAACTGAGGGAGGGAGCACTATCAATATCCACCAGACACAGAGGACTCCCTGAGAGGCAAACGGAAAGTAGCCATACATTTCCAATTGTCAGTAAGTAAAAAACTAAAAACTCATCCACTAGCTGTCCCCAACCTTTAAACTCCCACCCACCCGACTGGCACAGCGCCAACCTCCCGGAGTCCCAGAAGGTCTGCTGCTCCCCACAGAGAAGCATAATTACAGCTTCCACAGGAGGGTCGGGGACAGACATGGTGGGGCTGTGCCCATTAATGCCTCAGAGAAACAGCACACCCTGCTAAGTCAACAGGTCCCTGCCAATGTAGCAGCAGCTACGGCGAGGCTAATGAAAGAGGCTGGGGAGAAACACTATCACATAACAAACATCGAGGTTAAGTACAAAGTACAAACTTAAAAAAGTAGTAGTACATGGGACTGGAAGTACTTCACACAGATGCAACATGAAAGGCACATGATGGGCCTTCTACAGACTAGAAGAGTAGCTTAATAAACAGAAAGTTAAGTGTCTGAATTATTTTCCTTCAATGTGAAATTAATGTATTTTAAAGTATTTTTGCACTTTAAACTTTGTTGAGCAGTTTTATAACCCGATAACAATTCCCTCCACTGTTGACAGCAATGTACTGTGTTTGCTCTTATACCTACAGCCTTGACTGCACGCTACACAGACTGATACTCCCAACATATTTTCCCATCTGTCCTCCTCGTTCTCCTGACTGACATGGGAACCAGGGTCTTCGTTACACCTATTTACAGTGTGATGGATCATTAACCAGCTAACAAGAGGCATGGTGATGAACGCTGGGCTTTCAATTAGCAAGGATATTCACAAACAGTGCTCAATCCGAAATACTTCCACAAGGAAGTTAGAAGCCGATAACTTTAAAGGATTATATGTTTTTATTATGTGAGTATTAAATCTCACTGTAAGAAAACCATGTTGAGTTTTGAGTCCAAACCTCAAGTTAGTCCCAGAGGGCTTTACAAAACATACTCCACAAAAATAAACAACTAAATATGTTTCAAGTGGGGGAATTTAGCGTTAACAGAGCCGCTGTAAAAAGAGGTCAGCCTACCTTTCTCGGCTTCAGTTTATCCTGCAAATCGTACTGGCCGATGCCTTTGTAGCTGACCCCCAACCACCACGGTAGACCTTGCTTGTCCTGCATGAAAGCACATGCACAAATCACACCACCACTCATTAGGGTTAGCTTTATTGGTGGGAGTTTGAGAAAGGCCTGTTACAAAAGCAATTATCCCATTAGGTTCACAGCAATAGCAACAAAAGAAGAGATCAAATACACTGAAGGCCTTCAAATCTCTGCAAGCCTGCCTGAGTCACTTTAACACCACTGTTTGATCTCCTCAGACACCTTGATTTAATAAGGCTTGGTTGGGAAAGTCAGAGGAAGCAAGTAAAAGTAAGGAAGGTTGGAGGAATCACCTAAAACATGCTAACTAAATGTGCTACGCTGGTTTACTGGATGTATTATTGTTTTTAATATTCGAGGTGCAATTCTGTACAGAACCAGTTTGTATTTTTCTATCCCACCCAAGCAGATAGAGCATAGTCCTGTACGTTACAACAGTAACATGTGCTACTGCTTTAGCTGCAGCACAGCATTTTAAAAGGAAAAGGCCTCATGATCAAAGCGTTACGCTAAACATTTAGGTGAATAAAGGTCAGATTGCTGAGTTAGATTTTAAGCAGAAAGAAATGAAGACGGCACGTTGACAGAAGCTTGTTCAGAGGTTAAGCTACTTCGTGAGTCGGGGCACCGCTCTTACCTTCACTGGGTAATAATGGACTCCGTATGTCGGCAGGGACTCCACCAGGGCCAGATACCTTGAGAGAAGAAGGGAACAGGTTAACACTTAACATTTACACTCCATCACTGTCAACCGGTGGCTGTTTAACAACAGACTGAGTGGGATTTAAGCCGCAGTCATTTGCAGTGGCAAGCTGATCGATTTGTGTTTCAGGTCGGTGACAGAGGGAGGGAGAGTCCATTGATCAGGTCAAGGGCACAAATCATCCCAGTGTAAATGACCCAGGGCTGCGCTGAGTTACAGTACCACAAAAAGCACAGCGGAGGACCGACGTCCCTCCCAAGGCTGGCTGGGTGCGAGTCTAAGAGCACCTCCTCTAATTAATGACACATTCTGGCGTGGTGACAGCCACCTCTTACAACAACAGGCACCACGGTGCAGACGCATGAGGTTAAACAGGAAGGCCTGGAGTACACAGGTTCATCATGAAAACAACATACATGTAGTTGTTTTTAAACTTACTGCACAATGGCTTGTCCTCTGGTCAGTCCCTTCAGTTTCTTGTAACGTTCAATTACTTTGTCCTCGCTGCAAAAATGGATAGATAAATAATTTAATGAAGAATTCATCAAAGTGTTGCACATTCCAGCCACAGAGGGGATTTGTGAGAGGGCTCTTTCTTTGACACACATTCTGTCTGCTCATGCAGAAAATGCCGTCTGGCCTACTGGCCCGCTGATGGCTCTCATCTACCTCTCCTGCAAATGCATCCCATTTACTCACCACTGTAATCATCCCTTTTAATAGCATAGCGAGGCTGCAAACCAACCGCGGCTTAACAGACAGAAAGAGACAGAGAGAGAGAGAGACGTGTTCAAGTGCACTAAAAGACTACGATTTCAATTTGGATATTAAAATGAATGTAGCAGCCTCGGATGTGCGTTTAGCCAGATGAAGCGGGGACAAGCAGAGGAGAGAAAAAAACAAAACAGCAGTGAGTGTGGATTGAAGAGACAGACAGCAATCCGTTAGATAGCCGGTGGCTGTCAGCAGCTCTCTGTCCGCTCGCGAGGGCTAATGGGCAAATGTAATTAACACAACCCAGGGCATTAATTAGTCACCCTATCAGAGGCAAAACCATCTGTCGAGTACCGGACCGTTCTGTTGACACTGTTCCACTCAAAGCTGCTGCTGTTCTGGGGAAAGAAGTGGTGCTGACCACTGAGGCTATTTGACGTCTGAATTGTAAGCGTATCTTGTGGAGAAAGGGCTAAACTTACCAGTAATTGAGAGACGGGTGCTCCCTTAATACCCTAGTGGGCAGAACTGGGAGCTGCTTCAGGTCTGATCTGGCAGTCTCAGCACTGACAACAAAAGAAATAATCATATACACAAGTTAAGTAACAGCAAAAGTATTCATTCACAAAGAAAAGAAAAGCATCTATGCTTCAGCTGGGTGAGACACAACACCTAAAATACATTGATTGAAGAGAGACAGGTTATCTCGGTGTAATTACTGACTCCCCTATACAACGATAAGCTCTACATTTAGACATCTATATTACCCTGTTATGAGCTGAACGGAGTGCTTCAGACCAGCATGTGGACCACAAGGAAAGTAAAGGTAGCTGTTTACACAAGAATCCCAACTCAAAGCCTATAAATGTGGTTAGAAAAAGGTGCTGTGTCAGGACATTGTTTTCATCTTTCTTGTCTATAAATAGTAGGACTACTTGCCAAGACTAAACACGAGCTTCACTCATGTCTTGCCAGACTTGACTTATAACAGCACATGCAGGGCCATTAAATCATAGGGAGCCTTTTAAAAAAAGGGGCCCTGGCAAGATATCTTTTAAAAAAATATATCAAAGCCATTTCATGCAGGTTCTCAGCAGCGATGCACTCCACACAGCTATTCTCTGTACTGGGAGGTAAACTACTTTGTATTGATTCACCCCATGACGGATGCAACGGGTCCGATCGGTGTCACCCACAAACTCCAAGTAGTAAACGGAAAAACTGGCCATCCTGTGTGTTCAGACAAATTGTGTTGTTTGTCACCGTCAAGCTCTTCGATAGTGCACTATGGGTCACTCGAACATCGTGTAGGAGGGAGTACTGGATCTACAGTTCTCTGCTGGACAAAAAAAAGGGGCTCTGGCTTGGCGGGCCAGTCCACTGGAGACCTGAACAAAAGCCATTCAACAAGCACTTGGCAGCCTCTCCCTGTGTTGAAAAGCATTGTACGAGCCCCAAGCGCGGCTACAAAACAGGCGGTGGCCTCTGAGACGGAACGCAGATGTGTAGGTCAGACTATACATGATAGAAACTCTCAGGTATTCTACCAGCAACCCCAAACACGTATCGGACATCAATTTAAGTCCTGCTCTTTAAAGATGAATGGAATTTAACAGCCGCTGACATGGTAGGACAGACCCATAATGCTCCAGTTATGTGAAGCAGCTTACTAAACAAAAACAAGGGTGAGCCACTGTAAGGGCAGAGGCACTTGAATCACTGTTCCCTGTAGCTACCTCTCCTAGGGTTGACTGACTTCTGCTGCCACGGCACTTTTTGCCGCGTGTTTGATGGCGTACGTTTTATGGCGAAAGCTGGGGCCTGGTGTTGTCTGGGTGATCTACTCCACAAGCCGCGCTGCCCCGTCAGCAATCTGGAACTCATTACTACGTCGGTTATCTCCCCTGCAGCCTGCAGCGCGGGGGCAACTCCTACACCCGGCCCAGGCGCAGCCTACCCAGCGTGGGGAGAGATAATACTCATGTGTCAGCTATATTCCGTGGGGCTGAGACGTGGTGACTGTGGAGGGAGCACAATGAGAGAGCCTGTTGCTGTGAATGAACCACTAACTACAGGCTACACCTGCAAATAGAACCGAGGACTAAAACTGTCCGGGTGTAGTGTCGGTCGGTGTGGGGAACATTTGAACGCAACTGACATTGTGTTAATCACAGCTGATTTAAAACTAGAAAAGTGTATTCATAGCAACAAAGACAATGTCTCTAGCTCACTTTTGTAAGTTGATTACAATCACGAAAATAAAAAAAATCCCGCGATCGGTTACACTGAGGCATAATTACAGACAACAAGCAATTCAGCAATTTCCTAAGTTTTCCACAATCTAGCTTGTAACTTGTGGCAATCAGCTGTGGATTAAACCTGCGGGTGGTGTGAGTCAGTACTGTAAAGACACAATGCAATACTGACTGAGGGAGGGGAATTCTGATACAAGTACAATGTGAAACCTGATGGCGCATGTATTCAATGCACAGCAGGGGGGTTGGCCCACACCACAACCATAACAGTGAGTCCTCCTGACGCCAAGTTGTCTGCCATTGGACAGTGGGCCGTGGCTCATCCCTCTTAAGGCGGCTGACTGTAGGAGGAGGAGGTCTCCCTAACTCCTCCACAGCTAATCTCACTGCTCCAGGGCCCTTTGCTGATACAGTGGAGAGGAGACACATTTATATTATATGCTTTATGAGGGGATTTACTCGGCCTGTTCTCTCAAAGAAGTAGTTAAAAGGATACTGCAGACAGGAATGAGAAATACTGCCACGGGACAGCGCGGGGGGGGGGGGGGGGGGGGGGGGGGGGGGGCGCGGGGGGGGGGGGGGGGGGGGGGGGGGGG